TTGAGGAGTCTAAGAAGGTTTTCGACTATTATTATGAAAAAGGCGGAAATTTCTTCGGTATATTTATTTTTTTATATGTGTCCTATATAGCATCAATCGGTTCTGCAGTAATTGTTAACTGGTTTTTCAAGTTTGACACTTTAACTTTTTAACTTTTAATTAGCTTCGACTAATAGAAAGTGTTATAAAAATTATATATATTTGATAAAATTGTCAGCTTCTGCATTAGTTTTGAGATGAAATCAATTAAAACAGATCAAATTTTATCAACATTGCTAAATCGCTCAAAAATTAATTCAAAAATGAGTGATATTTATTTAGGGAACGCCTATTTCCACATGCTTTTCACATGACTTTCAGCTACATAAACATGAAGAATATATTGTCATGATAAATGATGAAAATAGTAAATTTTTTCATGGTGGAAATAGGCGTTCCTTTAATTTATTTATTACGGGATAATTACTTTTCCATATTTTTATTGATTAAAGATTAGTAAACACATACTTTTTACAAATTGTTTAAGGTCTATTTAAAATTATTATTGCAAGATCGATTAAAATCCCTAATTTTAGAGCACTTAAAGTGTTGTATAACAAATATTTGAACTCACAAGATGTTTGTTATTTTAGATACTGCTAACGCATACAATTTTGGAGAGGTAATGATTAATACTGATCGCATAAATTCTCTAATATATGCTATATGCTAATTGTTCATTTTTGTTATATAATAAAAAGAATGAACAATTTCTTGGAGAATATATAGCTGATAAACGTTCTCAAGTCGTAATCGCCACAAAATATACTGGTATGTTAATCTGATTATTTGTTTCACCGTAAAATTCTTTATTTATGTTATATATTTACATTTCTGTAAATTTATAAAGAAAATTCTACCGCTTTAATGCCAAATGTCAGATATAACCCAAATGCTGGTAATTTTTATTCTTCATATTGGGATTATATTTTATGGAATTGTGTGTATTAATATAAGTTCCGAACAATATTCCACTTATAGGTGGAAATCATCGCAAATCTCTTGTTGAAAACCTTGATCAAAGCCTTAAACGACTAGGAACTGGATATATTGATCTCATGTATGTTCATATTTGGGAATTTCGTACTCCTATAGAAGAAGTAATGCGTTCTTTAGATGATGTTGTTAGAAGTGGCAAGGTAGGCTATTTGATATATAATAATTAGTATGTTGGTTTGCATAATTATTAATTAACTTCTAACATTTAATACAAATTTCTAAGGTTCTTTATATCGCGATTAGCAATGCACCAGCATGGGTGCTTAGTCGTGCAAATACGATGGCTGAATTACGTGGTTGGAGGTAATACCATACATATAATGATATACTATATTTTGTTTACACATTGTCGATGAAGAGTAACAAAAAAAATTTTCTTAACTTATACAAGTCAATTCGTTGGGATGCAAACGCGATATAATTTATTAAATCGATCTTTGGAGCAGGATATACAAACTGCTTGTGCTGAACATGATGTAAATACATTTTAACATTTGTTATTGTACTCGAATTTGATTTCAAGTCTGGTGATGATATCATAACTAACTTATAAATTTTTATCATAAAGGTTGGAATTATTCCTTGGGGATGTATCGCTGAAGGGTAATCATATTTAATTTTTTTTCTTTGATGTTTAATCTATGCTGACTGGCTTCTGTTTTCATTATTATTACTGTATTTTTACCTAGGTTCTTGACAGGAAAATATACCAGAGAATCAGCTGCTAACTTAGAAATGCCTGATACTATGAGAAGTCAACGTGTTAACTCAATTAAAAGATTAGCTGAAAATGAGCAAAATTGGAAAATCTTTGATGAAGTTACAACTATCGCTGCTGAAACCAAGAGAACTCCTGTTCAGGTAACTTCATAACTTAAGTTGTCTATAATCATTTATATATTTTTTTTCGTTTATTTATTTTTAAAATTAAAAGATCGCTTTGAATTGGATCTCACAAAAACCTGGCATTACTTCGCCTCTTATCGGTGCTAGGACAAAAGCTCAATTAGTTGAAAATCTTGGTGCTCTTGAATTCAAGTAAATTTTTTATAAATTTCCGTTATCTTTGTATTAAATTGATCCATATCATTTACTAATGATTTTAAATAAATAGATTAACACCTGAGCAGATGGCAAGGTTAGATGCTGTTTCTGCACCAAAGGAAATACCATTTCCATATTCTGTATATTCAAATCTTGAGAAATATGTTGGCAAAGGAATGCAAATTCCTGAAAAGTATAAACCCATTTTTATGATGGGTGCACAAGAAAAATTTTAGGCAGAATATTCCTTAGGCTAGAAATATTTTCATTATGCTTATTTATGCTATCATTAAGCAATAATTTATTTTTATGTCAGTAAATTATCTTTTCTTTTTTCTTATTTTACCTCATTATTTGTAATCGAGTTAATGATTTTTTTAAGATTTATAATTTTGACCAACCGACATGTGCAAACCATTCAAATTGTATTGACTTTTTACTATATGAATTCCGGAAAGGAAAATTTTTAAATGTCATTTTTACATGTCATTAAAAGATTTACAATTTTACTATAACTTAATCCATTTTTCTGTATGTTATAATGATTATGGCATGCGTGAACCAGGTTGTATCGACCTTTTAACGTGTATTTTTGAATATTGGAACTATTTTACGATACGATATCTTTGTGCGAAAATCTACAACCAAATTTCTCAGAAAGAAAATTTCCATCCATCATTTTTATAATAGATAATTAGAGACATGATCATGTATGCGGCTTCACCGCCCATAATGTGTTAAATATAGTATATTCTTATTTTTATTCCGGAAAGAAAATTTTCTCAAGTATTTCTGTCATTTGATGTTCCGTCTTAAATTTAATTCGCCAGCTTTGGCCCCTCCGGGACCAAAACTGGTGCACTAAATTTATAGCCTTTATTTATTGTCAGGGATGATGCTGAAATTTGGGGCCCTAATTTAAAAATATAAACCCTACTAAAGTCCACCTATACCCTTTTATTATAAACACTAGACCTAAATTCTAATCGAACTATAAAAAAAGGCTGAACAAAACACTTCAAAAAAATTTTAAATTTTCATAATAAAATAAGTCAAAATTTCAGCATCATCCGATTTTAGCATCATCCCCGACATTTATTATGTAAAACGATCATTATAGCCTTAAGATTATAGTATAGCGATAGTATCACCTACCAAATAGAACTGTCATTGGGTGTTACACATCCAATAATTATAAATTCTGATCCGGATCTAATTTCCATCCAATTATTATTGTAAATGAGCATAGTGCACGTTTTCAGAATGTTGCGATGCTGCTGTAAAGATAGAATGAAAATAAATCACGTAAATTTTGTGTTGATCAGGGTGATGAGTGGCTGAGTTCACGATTCTTTCGCTGTAGTTCTTTCGATATGATCTTTGACGATCATTAATTATCAATTCATCATACCGGCAAAAAAAAAGTAAAAGTAAATTTTTCATGTCGATCCCTGCACGATAGCAACACAACACACCGAAATTAAAAAAAGACAAACACACATACAAAGATGCTACATTACACAGCCATATATAACAAAAATGATCATGCCAAAATTTAAAAGGGTTAATTATATTGAGCCGCTACATTATCCATTTTACCCAACCATTTTTGTTTTATTGTATTGTACGTATTTATGATCGTGTATGTACTGTACGTAAGTATCGTAACTATTATTCGGGAGAATACTTCAATATAGCCGATTTGACTCTTAGTAGTTACGCGAAAAGTGTACGATGAAAGTCACTAATATTCAACGAGGGCGACGCAGCATGATTTTAGGTTGAATAACTCAATAACCAGCGATGTATAAAACGGTACAAAAGTAAGGTTGAATAGACGGTTGTAACGGTAAAAAGTATTTTGGTATCATTGAATAACAGGTCACGTAGACAACGCGTTTGATGAAAGGTGAACTTTTTTTTAACTTCGGAAGATTTTCGATTGATTTTTATTATAAAGGTCTCTTCAGCATATACGTGTGTGTCTAAATTGCCAATCTTAGTAAATAAGTAGCTGCGCAACGTTGTCGCGCAAAACCAGGAACGGGGAAATTAGTATATCTGATATTAGATATTATAAAGCAAATTTTTTAAATGTATTTTCACCATATCAGATTCTAACAAACTCACGCATGATTTACCCATTGTAGTTACCCAGATACGCTCGTCAACAGTTTAAGGTGGTTAATTTTGACTTATAATTAAGCGCAAAATATATATGTTCAGTGTTAATTTACATTATTAATTGACATACGACATTCACAAATTTAAGCATAGTGTATGTCTTTTGTAATCAGTAAACTAATTGTCCTTTATATAATAAATATTTCTA